TTTAACCAATAAAGCACAAATACAGATCTCTATTCATGTCATAGCTTTAGGCATTTGGAAAAAAAGATTTTATTGCTCCATGGTGCTTTTGATTAAAATCAAAATAAAAAGCCATTTATGAAAGCTTGTCAACTTTTTTGATACACTAGCATTCACCTTTTTTTTTTAAAAGCCAGCATTTTTGCAACAAGAACTCGTTTATAAAAGGTTTGAGTAAATTTACAGAGGCAATATTTTAAGTAAAACTAAGAGGAGTTCTTCAAAAAGCTGACAACTTTGTGGCTTTCTGACAGTGGGTACGAGAGTCGTACGATGGAACAGGTTAGAGCATCACTGAGAAATCATCCCACTGCAGCCAATCCCCTTTATGGAAACGGCACACATTTTCTTTTCAAAGTCAATTTATAAACAGAGACGTCTCTTTAAAAAAAAAAACATTTGAACTAACAAGTGGATTTCTACAAAACTGGAGCAAAGAAGTTACAGTACACAATTTTTAACAGAAAGTGCATATCACTGTGAGCTATATATATATATATATATATATATATATATATATATATATATATATTGCTTAAGTGTTAAAACTGTGAAAATTACAATATATTTCAACACAGATGACAAGAAGACAAACACAGTAATAATATAATTTAAAAATAAATTATCTTCAGTAGTACAGACCCCACCCCCACCCCGACTAAAGTTTGATCTATGATGCTGTGGTCGGTTCCTTAAAATGTGTTACTTTGTATAAAATGTCACCTCTGTGGCACGGTTTAAATTCTAATATATTTCATCAAAAAAAAAAACGGTAACAATATACGCTACACAATTAATCTTGTAGTTTATATCAAAGATTGAACAATACAATGTTAATAAGAGAATGAAATAATCCACCGCAACATGCACATTTAGTAAAGAACAAGAAACCAACAAAAGATGCATATTTGGGACTTAACTAACATTTCCATCATAATTAAAATTATAAATATGTGTTGACGACAAACATAAATATGTGTTAATAAGGCTACACATGCTCCTTACATAACTAACTCCATGATAGTCTAACTCTAAAATACAATTCTGACACACAAGAAAATACAAACCCACAAGCAAATACACACACATACAAAACAGTCCTTTCTGCCTGTCTGTCTGTTTTTCCCCTTATGAGATTTGTCGATCCCTGTAACTTCAAGAGCTACATCCTGGACAGCAATCCAACAAGGCAAATGCCAGATACCCTGTTCAACCTTTAATGGTGGATGCTGCAACCTAAGACCAGTAAGAGTAACAGTACTCCACTCGAACACTATGCATGACTTCAATGATGTAGGATTCATTTTAGATTTCCCTTTAAACAAATGTAAGTGCGTGGTGTGAGCAGACTGTTTTTGATTTGAAGACAAACAAAAAAGTAGGCAGCCTGGCAACAGTTCAAACTCTTATAAAACAAGAAAAGGTGAAAAAGGGGGAGGGGTCAATAAGTCAATATTGCACAACAAATATACACCATATAAAGAAGGCTTCTATATTTTCCCATGTTTCCTCAAATAGAAGACATTTAAATGAGACAAAACTGTTTATTTCACAAATCTGATAATAAACTTGATAGCTTAGTGTAAAACTTGTAATCTGCATCAAGGATTAAGCAACCCTGGTAAAAAATGTTACTGGAAAAGAAAACCATCTAAACCCCACAATCCATAAAAAGGGACAGGAGGAATAGAAATGTAAGGACACTGAAGATATACAATAAATGTAAGGACACTGAAGATACACAATAAATGTAAGACACTGAAGATACACAATAAATGAAGGACACTGAAGATACACAATAAATGTAAGGACACTGAAGATACACAATAAATGTAAGGACACTGAAGATACACAATAAATGTAAGGACACTGAAGATACACAATAAATGAAGGACACTGAAGATACACAATAAATGAAGAACACTGAAGATACACAATAAATGAAGGACACTGAAGATACACAATAAATGAAGGACACTGAAGATACACAATAAATGTAAGGACACTGAAGATACACAATAAATGTAAGGACACTGAAGATACACAATAAATGTAAGGACACTGAAGATACACAATAAATGTAAGGACACTGAAGATACACAATAAATGTAAGGACACTGAAGATACACAATAAATGAAGGACACTGAAGATACACAATAAATGTAAGGACACTGAAGATACACAATAAATGAAGGACACTGAAGATACACAATAAATGTAAGGACACTGAAGATACACAATAAATGTAAGGACACTGAAGATACACAATAAATGTAAGGACACTGAAGATACACAATAAATGAAGGACACTGAAGATACACAATAAATGTAAGGACACTGAAGATACACAATAAATGAAGGACACTGAAGACACACAATAAAAGTAAGGACACTGAAGATACACAATAAATGTAAGGACACTGAAGATACACAATAAATGAAGGACACTGAAGATACACAATAAATGAAGGACACTGAAGATATACAATAAATGTAAGGACACTGAAGATACACAATAAATGAACTGACTGAATGTACAGTCCTACAAGAGCATTTAGAGCCTTTTTTTTAACTCCACACAAACTAAAGGAAAAACACAAACATGAATGCGCAAACATGTCTGCCCTTTGTTAAGAGGCAACAATAAAATCATGTCATAATACATTCATTCCTGCACAGTGTATGCTATGTGATTCTAAAACTGTGAACTCCACAATACAGAGCCACCAAAGCACACAAATAAAAAAAATAATTAAATAAATGCAAAAAATTGTCCAAGTATTATATACATCTACAACTTGCATACAAATATTTTGGGATGGAAAATGGTAAATGTTTCTTGTGTCCTTGATTGTTTTCTGAATACTAAATTCAGACATGTTACACCTTCCTTTTTTCATTATTAAATGCTGATTAACCATCTCACTCATTCATGAATCAACTCAGTGTTTTTGTCCGGCCCTAAGCTATCTGGTCAAGTTAACTACATACTGACACTATGAAAAAGTCCAACGTACACGTATTAGGCATATATATATATATTTGGAGACCAAACATCATCTCCAGAGTAATATGGCCAGCATCCACTGACATTTTGTCACCGTCCAGAATTCTCCCATTTATGATGATGCCAACCCTTGAGAGATACTGGCCTGGACACAATACAGTCCTGCTTCGACTCAGACTTAAACCCAGGATCACGGTGTGGTGCGCAAGTACACTCAGCTTCTTCATCTTCTTCCTATTCGTCGGCTGTAAACTCCAGCGGAAAGTTCAGGTTGTGAGTCCATTTCCACACTTTACTCTTGTCTAAAACATGAGTGCTGCGTGCATATCTGTTTTACAGATCTGACTAACAGTGTGCAGGCCATATTAGACTCGACAAATCTTTGGTCTGGCCCTGCCATCAATACAAGCTACACTACACCACAAAGACAAGCCATTCCATACTGCACATTAAGAAAAAAGTAAGCAAAGGACACTTTTCACGCCAGTGATGCAACAGGCATACAATGTTAAACTCAATAGACCAATTTGCAGTCAATCGACGATGTCAAAATCACATTGACTGCCTTTCTTCCCCGGGACATTACCTGGTATCCACATTTGGCTGGGTCGACCTGGGAGCCACCGTTGATTTTGACAAAAAATCCACCATGACTCAGATTAACCTCACGTCCTCTGGGCTAGCAGGAGCATCTAGGCACTACACTACTGCAGCTCCCACCCACCACACTAGGAATGAGTTAAATGTTTGACTTAATAAAGTAGGCCAATTCTTTAGCCTGGTAATTTTGTACGGCCAGCCAATCACGTTGTATCCAAGAAGAAGAACAATTTTCTTGCTATAAGGGATCAACAATTGAAGACTGTCAATTACAAATATAAACACTCCGTTAGAGAAATTAGTAGAAGTAAATGACATGTAGTTTAAAAAAAATATATATGCTGAGATTAATGTCAGTCCTACAACACAGCAAATAAGTGTCTATTTTACACAAGTACATACTGGGTAGAGATACACAAACTTTTATAGTCAGGCTTCACTCTTACATGACTTATCTAAGACCTTATATGAAATACAGTAGATGGAATTGTGAGCCTGCTTTCAATGTCCAAGCTCTGTGAATGCGGACAAATAAAAAAAAAAAACTATATAATATATATAAAACTAACTGCAGCCCAAATGTGAGTAAGTAAAAGTAAAATCTGAACAGACCGCTTGCCCGAAAAATTAGGTTAACAAAACCCATGCGAAGAAGGTTAAATTCTGCTTATTTGTTAATATGACTGTGATCAAAATATTCCTAAGTGTTAGTGCTATGTCTCTGTTGGGCTGCCAGTTAAAATGTTTAATCAATTTTAAAAAATATCTATTTTTCAGCCTAGACAATACTGGATGGATGGATGGATAGCTGGTAATGGTAAGATTACTGTAAAGCTTGCCTTACTCACCAAACACAATAACTACAGGCCTGACCTGGCTTTTAGACTTCCATTAGATTATTATTATTCTAAAGTTATTGTATTTTTTATTAATTTATTCTTTTAGAAACTATTTTCAAATCCTGAAACCTGTTTTCGGCTGTAGCATTTGTTCTCTCACAGATTTCTTTCTTAATTAAAAAAAATTGTAGTAACAGACATCTAGTTCAATCATCCATTATAATGACATGCTCCTAACTCATTACCTATTTTTATGACATATATCCAGCTCAAACATCCATTATTATAACAAGCAACCAGCTCAATAATTTATTACAACATGCCTCTAGTTCAATAACTCATTATTATGACATGAACCCAACTTTATGATTATGACATGTACCTTACTCAACCACTCAATATTAAAACATGTATTAAAACAAAATGCTGCAGCATTTCCCCTAAGTCAGTCTCTTTCACATTGAAACTAACACACTCTCAATGAGATGAATATCCTCTCCCATTGCATAGTTTCTCAACGACCTCCATAGGTTGGATTTTTGAATGTTGATGTAGCCTGCTTGTAAATTGGGTTCTCTCCCTAAACAACAAATGAAAACAATCAAATTATCATTTCATAATTAGAATCTACTGCAATCTCAAAATTTTATCAATAAAAATGTTCCTATTTGTATTCATTACAATGGCTTAAAACTGTTTTCTTCCCCTCAATGAAACATGCTCTTGACCAACACGTCATCCTATCTTTTGCATTTTCGTGCGGCTTACAATATGCATAGCTGGTTGTCTTTTATGGTTTTAGTTTTTTACGGAATGAGGTAACCAAACCCAAGCCCAACTCTACCCACAGGTACCAATTATAACACTCCTGTTATCTTTGCATACCCTAAGGGGTCCTGGTAACACATAGGTATTTCTCCTTTACTTCTTTTTCTCTGCATTCACCAGCTGTGAAACTCTGATGGAAATATCAGGTTGATGTCCACTTCTGAACGCTGGTTTTGTTCCATAATTTGAGTTCTGCGTGCACATCAATTTTACTGATCTGGTTTTTTTGTAAGCAGACTGCTGGTTCCTCACCATTTAAGCATATGCACTGCAACTTCGAAGAAAACAACCCTAATCAGTCACCTCTTATGACGTGCTTGCTGGTTGGGGTGGGTGGGACGCAGTGAGTCTATTCTTTTTCCCCTCAGAACCCACACAGGGAGGTATTCATCCAGTTAAGGTTAGTTAGTTGCGTATCCTTTACAGGATGTTGCAGAACCAACCTCAGCATTTTGTTTTGGCTGTGTCGGTTTTTTCTAGGCAGATTTACATCCAGTAGTTTGCCACTGCTTTCTGGACGGTCGGCTTTCGACTACACTGTGGAAACCAACACAAGGCGCAAGGCCCACAGCTAGGATCAAACGCAGCAACCCTGTATTATAAAGCGTTTTCGCAACGCCTAAGCCACAGATGATTTATCCTGTACAAGGGCTTAATGCAGATACAGCACCTAAATGAATACCATTTAAGATAAAAATAAAATAAATCTTCCCCCTTTTTTTTGGGGGGGGGGAGGGGGTATAACAGACCTACCCCCTACTAACAAGCATGACATAACAGTCAACTAATTAGGTGTGTTTTCTTCACAGTTGGTGTGTATCTGCTTAAAGGCAAGGAACCAACAGTCCACGAATAATCCCAAAGTTCTAGAACAAGACTAAAAACTAGAAGTGGACAAACAACCAGAGTTTACAGCCAGTGAACACAAAGAAGAAGATCTATCAATGGAGCATAAGCCCTTAACCATTTCATGCCAATCCTTTATATCTGAAGACTTGTTTATGACTGTTTAGATTTCACAGCTGAGCTTTTCTAGGAGACAAAACAGCCAGCTCTAATGCCAACTTTCCTTAATTGCCTTTCATGATTCAATTTATAATACTTTTTCTTCTTCATCATTTATCTGAGGGAGGTAATTGTGCTGTGCCTGCTTACAGCACAGCTGTCACATTTAAGCCTTTCAACTGACACATCTGGAAAAAAAAACAAGCTCAACCATGTTCAACCAGCTAGCTAACAGCAGGTTGAACGTGTTTGAGCAGTTTTTTTTTTTTTTAAATGGACAGACAAATGACTCCATTGGGCATCTGTTCATCGGATTAGCCTTCCTGGTTGGTTCTGTGGGCCTTTTTTGTGTGGTATCCTTGTTGTCCCTTTATCTACAGGTGTTGCCCCTTGAAAACCCACCCAGAGTAACCGTGTGTAGACTGCTTGGCCCTGAAGGGAAGTATTGGACAGATCATGAGCATTCCCGGCCATCCAAGGATTCTTCCATAAATGCAGTGCCAACTTATGATGCTCTGATCCTGGGCTCTCCCAAAGAATCATCATGTTCTTTCTGCACATGACTCCTTACACTCAAATACTACGTTCGGCTTCCTACCCATCAAGGGCGGTACCCTTTAGTCATTCAGTAATACAGTGTTACTATTTTCCACTTCTTTTGTTTTCTGATAACACATGTGTGAGGTTTCTATGAACTTATATTTCAGCTGCAAGTATACAATAAGAGAAAGAAAACTTACAGTGTCCCATTTGGCATTCTGTCTTTCCTTCTCAAATTTAGCAAATTCCCGAGTGTCATGGATGAAGGTAAGCAACTTCCAGATAAGCAAAAGAAACAGTCCCACGGCCACAATTCCACCAACAACACCACCCACAATGGCAAGGACATTCACAGACTCAGGACATACTGAAAGCAGATTGTCACAACAAAATGTTGGCACTGAACACAGCAAAGCATACATTCATCTTTGACTGAAATGTCTAAAATAAAATGGCAATGAACACGGTATATGCTAACTGTTGATAAAAAGAAATGAAAATACTATGTACATTTACAAGAACACAAGAGCGTGCGCACACACACACACACACACATGAGCACACACACAAATGCATATATCCATACGCATAGCAGGTACACACATATACCATTTGTTCATCCCTATCTGAGGTCTCTACATCGTGAAGTGGTGTGCGCGCGCGTGCGTGCATATGTCTGTATGTATGTATGTATGTATGTATGTATGTATGTATGTATGTATGTATGTATGTATGTATGTATGTATGTATGTATGTATGCGTACGTATGTATGTATGTATGTATGTATGTATGTATGTATGTATGTATGTATGTATGTATGTATGTATGTATGTATGTATGTATGTATGTATGTATGTATGTATGTATGTATGTATGTATGTATGTATGTATGTATGCATGCATGCATGCATGCATGCAAGTATGTATGTATGTATGTATGTATGTATGTATGTATGCATGCATGCATGTATGTATGTATGTATGTAAGTATGTATGTATGTATGTATGTATGTATGTATGTATGTATGTATGTATGTATGTATGTATGTATGTATGTATGTATGTATGTATGTATGTATGTATGTATGTATGTATGTATGTATGTATGTATGTATGTATGTATGTATGTATGTATGTATGTATGTATGTATGTATGTATGTATGTATGTATGTATGTATGTATGTATGTATGTATGTATGTATGTATGTATGTATGTATGTATGTATGTATGTATGTATGTATGTATGTATGTATGTATGTATGTATGTATGTATGTATGTATGTATGTATGTATGTATGTATGTATGTATGTATGTATGTATGTATGTATGTATGTATGTATGTATGTATGTATGTATGTATGTATGTATGTATGTATGTATGTATGTATGTATGTACCAATGAATCCAAGAGCTGTATCAACTGTGGTGTCTCCAATGTCGGACAGGATAACCCTGTTGCCAAATGATAGTCTTGTAAATGTCGACATACTGGTCTGACTGCAGTGATTGTTCTTGAAAAGTGTAGTTAAATTTCCCTGGTTCCATCTGCACCTGCACAGTGTTTAATAGGTCAGCATATGAATATTGTAACTAACAATAGTGGGGCACCCAGGAGGGGAGGATTTTGCCATATGGCCTGAATGACTTTTTTAAATACCAAATTGATGTCACATTTTTCTGTTAGCCTCAGTGATAGAGGTCACAGGGGGACAGCATGAGTTATCAGAGAGATACTGTTTTTAAAGACATGGGCAATATATTCCTTTTAATGCTTCACTCTGTTTGTTTTTAACCTTTTTTATATATTCCCGTGGAGGGAAAGGGGAGAGAAGGGTGTTTCCAAGAATTCCCACAAGTTTACGACAGAATCCTTGGAAAGATTATAGGTTTTTTCTGTTAGGGGCCAAAGTAAAATCCTAACCTAAACAGTCCGTGGTGGCAGCACTAACCTTGCGACCCTAAATTCTCAGTTTCAAAGAATCCCTGCCTACACTATAAAAGTGGTAAACACAGCTAGTTATGGCAGTTTGGAAAGGAGGGGGAGGGCGCAGATGACTATTTAACACATCAGACGTACTAGGCGACAGATTTAATTAAACTGTGATATCACCTGCTTTATGCTGATGCATGGCTGAAAATTATATAACAAATGTACAGTAATTAGGAAACTGAAACTTTTTCACATAATAAGATACTTGGAATATGCTTCTTCTTCTCTTCCATCTTGCACCTCAGTCAACTGTCGGGGGAAGATGTAACATTCACTGATGAGCTCTGTCAAGAGCGCTATTAGGACTGATGTTTATTTTTGTAAGGCTGTTTTTAATGCCATCACTCCATATTTTCTGAGGTCTTCCACTCGCTCTACACCTGTTGTAACATTTTAGTGTGGCTCGCTGTGGCAGATAGAACCAGGGAATTCTTGTTAGGTATCCAAACCACTTCATTTGTTGTTTTTTGATGACTTGTATGTCTGGCTTTATTCCTAGTATTCGTCTGATTTTGTGATTTCCATGAAACTCCTGCAGCTCTTTTAGGCATTTCATCTCTGTTGTCACCATTTTACGTTCACTGGAGGATGTAAGTGTCCACGTTTGGCAATGATAGCCTAGTGTTGGCCAAAAAAAAGTTCTGATAAGGTTCAATTTGTTACTCCGGGGTATCTGCTTGTGTGTCAACAGGGAAGATAGTTGCCCAATTACTTGATCAGCTTTGGCACATCTAAAATATGCTGCCTGTTACATATTTGAGACCATTTGGCACCCCATGTGCAATGTGGTCAACATGATACCAGCCATTTCTTACCTTTAGTATTCTGAACTTTAATGATTGTTTCCCGTCCACTTTTGTCATATTCATAGGTAAAGTAGGCCCAGCACTCATCATCATCCTTGAACTGACACAGCTGGATCCCTGGACCCTCTACACAACAAAAACAATCAATTAAAGATTCAATATGAAATACTGAAAATAAGCATTTAAAAGCACAAATTAAATTTTAAATTTATATGAGAATAAAGGAATAAAGCAACCAGGACATCAAGCATTTAAACAATAATGCTATGTCAATTGTGCCACAACACGTGACAGGCTTAGCAAGCCGGCAGTGGTGTAATAAATTGCTACTGCACACAAAAATATTAAAAGATAAATTTATCACCCAAGCCACCAGGGAAGCGCTAGACAAATAGAGAAAACCAAGACACTGGGCTTTTACTTGGTATCAGTGAGATGACACAGGAAGAAGTAGATTAATGCAGTAGGGTCTGAACTTGACAGTCTTACCCTGATTAAATAACCACACGTGATTTAAGAGTTTTTACTGCCAGGATCTGCCGGGGTTGTTTCTTCCAGAGACCTCAGGTAAGTGATTTTATTTACATATTCTTGTTAGTAATTGAAATAGGAGAACCAGGGCAGCATAGTGGCCAGCAGGCTCTGAGATATGATGTTCGAGTTGAGTTGAGCTGACATCACAGCACTTGGGTCAATCCCATGCGTGCTCCGCCCTTATCTTCAGAGGCAGCTCAGAGTTCCATACTAACAGTACCAGTTGTAATCTGGCTATATGTCCGTCTTGCCTTTCCTCAGAGTGTAGTGAGCCAGCCAAACCCTCTAGTTACACCCAGATGCATCATTCTCTCTAGGCCATAATAAACTTGTGGTGCTGTTTACGTTTCCAGGCCCAGGATTAGAGCAACTTCCCTTGCCATTATGCCTCATTAGGTCGCTGGACCTCTCCTATGTTGTGGGGGAGTAATGTTTTCCTTATTGTGCACGGTTTAACTGTTGCCTCTTTTCTCGTCTCCTCACCGCTCGCTTACGCGATTATTTTCAAGTTCTCTTACCTGCGCAACGGTGCGGGAGTATGGAAACAGCAATATCTTTCTATTCCTACACTCCCTGTAACTGTTTTATTTCTCTGGGGGGAACACCACCGTCAACGAACGTAGAAATACACAAAAATCCCAGTTTTGATAGCCAAGAATCGTCGTGACTGCAGCACTCCCCCTACGGTATTTCTTAATTGTACATTGGTGCCTGTGGCACCTGAAATAGACTCAAAATAACACAACCTCCCACAAACATAACATACGCCAAGCGATGTCATACCAAGCCATATCATAACAACCCCGCAACATAGGAAAGGTCCAGCGACCTAAGGAGGCATGAATGGCAAGGAAAGTTACTCTAATACTGGGCCTGGAAACCTTAACAGTACCAATCTTGTTTCTTCTCTGACTTCATTACATGTTCCCAAAGGGCCTTGACCACATCTGCCTTGTCATGTATCAGTTTACCACCTAGTGGTGCAGATCCAGAAAATCTGTTTGCCTGTTCATTCCTCACCACGCCAGCATGGCCTGGAGAAAAGATCACAAGTATGCTCACTACCCGTGACCTTCCCAGTGAAGCTTTCCACTCTGCTCGAAACATCCCTGTTTTCACCTTTTTCAGCATGCTCTCAGGATTAGGATATGTGTATGCATCTTGTTCTCTAGCCACCAGAAAGCTGCAGTGATGTTCGAATACCCATTAAAGTGGGAATTTTGTGTTTTACTAAACAGGGATTTCAGGATAAGTAATATCTGCTTCGGCAGGAAAAAAAAAAATAGGCGGTATTTTTATTGATTAAAAAAAAAAAATATGGATTGTAGCTTGATGAGCAAAGATGCCTACTGGATGAAGGAGATAACAGAATGCAAGTATTCATTACCATGGGTGGCAAGCAGTCAATCATTTAGCTATCATGCTACCTTTCCAGGATTGATCATGGGACAATTGAACAGTCGTAGGCATAATGATGTAGGTGAACAATTTGCAATCGTGGAGTAAAAGGACAAATACCACTGAGCATCAGCTCTCAACATTACAGGGACTAATGCGTATATATTGTGCGGGTTATGCAGAAGTGCAAGGAAATAAGAAAGCAGATTTTTCTGGCTACAAAGGTGGCAGCTTCAGGAACACAGATATTGGACAAAGGAGCTTTCGTGAAGACCATTTATCAACAAATTAGAAGACACAAGGTCAGATGAAGTAACATGTGTAAGAATGTGTGAACGAGGAATTAGGTGTGGATTCAGCAAGAAGGGACGAATGAGAGAAAGAGAACGATGAGTTTATAGTCACTGTGCTACTGAACAGTTAGCATCTACACCTTAAGACATTTGCTGTGGAAGATGGAGAACCTATGAATATGCATGGTGTGCTATGATGTTGATTCTTAAATGAGTAATCAATAATACACTGAGTATGCACTGTGTCTTGTTTATAAAAAAAAAAAATATGCAGCCTGAAATCTGCCAGGGTGTTTTGCAAGTTCCTTAGTTATATCTTCTGTGGGCTTATCAACAACTTAAGCATTGTCATGATCCTATTTGGGGTTGAGAGTCTAGACATAACAAGGTATAAAGAAAGTTCCAGCAATCACACTTGTAACAAAAGCTACCCAAGGATGAATGAATACAAAGGGAGTATGAAAATGAGCTAAGACAAATGGGTGAGTGCTTTATAGTCTAGTCAGTTGGGAATAAAGCACTGGGAGAGACCAGCCCTGGAGGAGACGGCCAGCCGGCGAGCAGACAGACGAAAGAGGCCAACGAAAGCAAGAACCGACAGCAATCTCCCCTTACCTAGCCAGCTGTCTATCTCACTCACTCCTTCGACCTTGCTTTATATCCTACTCAGCTTTTCAAGCTTTCAATTTTCTCTTAATTTTTTTGCATAAACTGTGTTACATCCTCACTACTTCTATACCATGTGTGGCCAGAATAAAACTGGATAAAAAATTTAAAAAAAAAAAAAAGGCCCCAAAAAAAAAAAGACAAAAAAAAAAGAAGGCCAAAAAAAAAATATTCAAAAAAAAAATAAAAAAACGCTAAAACGCACTTACACATGTAAGATGCAAAAAATAAAAGCACAAAAAGATTTTAAGTGGGGACCCTGAAAGGGGCCGTGTGGTTGGAGCTCAGTGACAAGCTTATCGGTTTCGATGTGGTGTACAAGGAAGCAGCCAAGGCACAATCAGGGACAGGGTGCTTATCAGCCAGCAAAAACCATAACCTCACACAGACAAAAAGGAAAGGTGCAAATGGAAAAATCGGTAATCGAGGCGACCCCAAACGCCATACTAAATCAAAACGACCAAGAGTCAACCATTACACAAGGACTTGATATAGTCACCGCTCAACCAGGAGCAGACTGAAAAAGTCAAGGAGCTTTATTATTTTTGTTTTCCACAAACTTCATTGAATAATGGATTCTATCCTGAAAGATAACATATATCTAATGCCACATTAGTGATAATCCAGCCAGAGCAGCAGTGTCTCCCTTCCAGCAAAACAGCAAATGGTCAATAACATCTTTATCCCCACTTTATGTTATCATTGCCAAACATAGACAATGAATAGGACTACAGAACAGAAAATAACTATATGTGAAATGTAATTAAAATGTCTCTGCAAGGTCACTAACAACATAGGAAAAGGCGAATACCAGCATTAGAGAGAAAGTCGGAATAAGACCCTGTTGGGATTATGTTGACAGACAAAGAATGAAATGGTTCGGCCATCTAGTGAGAATGCAGCCAGACCAAACTGCATACGAGACTTTTTACAGCAGAAAATCTGGGAGAAAGGCGAGTAGAAGACCAAGAAAGAGAAGGATAAATAGTGTAGTTGAAACCTGCAAAAAGATGAACAAATCCATCACCCAAGCTACCCGAGTAACGCAAGACAAAAACAGAAAACCATGACACTGGGCTACAACCTGATAACAGTGAGACGACAAAAGAAGAAAAAAAAGAAGTAATAGTTCTAGTTATTAACTAAACACGGAAGTTCTTTTAGTTTTATTTATGAAAGTTTGCTAGTGTAATAAAATATTACAGTAAATAATGACAGAATCATGAACACTTTTGTGATTACATTAAATGTGAAACATTGTGAGGCAGATTGTTCATGTCCTTGTTTGATGATGCTAAAGTGTTCAAATATCTAGAAATTACTTTTACTTTATGATACAAATTATAACAAACTGCCAAAGCTTTTACTTTACAACACAAATTATAACACACTGTCAAAGCTTTTACTTTACAACACAAATTATAACAAACTGTCAAAGCTTTTACTTTATAACACAAATTATAACAAACTGTCAAAGCTTTTACTTTACAATGCAAATTATAACAAACTGTCAAAGCTTTTACTTTACAACACAAATTATAACAAACTGTCAAACTTTTACTTTATAACACAAATTATATCAAACTGTCAAAGCTTTTACTTTACAACACAAATTATAACAAACTGCCAAAGCTTTTACTTCACAACACAAATTATAACAAACAGTTAAACTTTTACTTTACAACACAAATTACTACAAACTGCCAAAGCTTTTACTTTACAACACAGATTACAACAAACTGCCAAAGCTTTTACTTTACAACACAAATTACTACAAACTGCCAAAGCACAAAATATACCTTTGACTTTGTCATGTCTAGTAATGTTTGGCCAGTTTCTACATTCTTCTGGGGTCAGTTTACCAGACTCAAAGATTCTGCACTGCACATATGGAACATATTCAGCACACTTGTCTGGGCATGCCTGTAAAGGAAGAAATACATTTGGGATATGTTGAAACACACATTCAATGTACTCTCCTAAAACACTGCACTATTTGATCCCACTAATGTATTACATATTGTTTGCAAAAATACTCTTTTTCTTTCCTATTCCCTGTCTGGATTTGGGGGCCTCATTATGGGGGGGGGGGGAAATAGAACAGACCCAGTGCCCCCCCCCCCCAACAAGTATGTTGTAAAAGTTTAATAATAAGTTGTTTCTCTTGGCATGGTAGTCATGTCTGTCCATAACCTTCTGTCTCGTGTACTTTTATTTAACTCGACACAGATCGGCCTCATGGGCCTCTATGCCATGATGTCAAACTGTCCAGCAACTATTCTCTCTGTCTCCCTCTGCCTCTCCTCCCTTCAACTTTCCTACTGTCACGATGTACTCCAGATTTCTCCTTCTCATCACATGACCAAAGAATGTAGATTTTCTGGCACTCTTCCGAATACCGGTCCCAAATTATTCACCACGAAAAACATCCCATTGAGAGCCTCAATGTAGTTAAAAACATTTAGGCCATCATCATCAGTTTCCACTTCTGCCGTTATTGCTCTATGGGTAGCAATGTTTAGACGTTAAAGGTAAGCGCCGTGAGGAGGATTAGATTTTGATCCATTGTTTAAGCGCCGTGGGGAGGAGTAGTTTTCGATCTATTGAAGCGTCGTGGTGAGGAATAGTTTGTGATCCACAGTTCACATTACTCATGACTCGCCTTGTGGGTTCCACCGCCACATGTTTCAGGAAAACAAATTATAGATCCACACCACCTAAAAAGCATGTTGTAAAAGGCGACTAATTAGGACTGTTGAAATTGGATGTGTTGGGGCGAAAGGCGCAAATATTGCAGCTTAGCTGTAAACCACAACACAACATGCCAACCGTCCTTTCAAGAGCGAACGAAAAGACAGATAACCTACCCGTGACATGACCATTGAGCATCTCACCGCCGCTATCGCAGCCTAGCTGTATACCACAAGACCGAGCGAAAGGCGCAGATATCGTATCCTAGCTGTAAACCACAACATAACGTTTCAACCACCCTTTTAAGAGCTAAAAGAATCATCTCCCGGCAGGGAATCGAACACAGGTCACCCTCGCCACAGGTGGAATTCTAACAATTGTACTACTGAAGAATCGAGAGTTTGGTTCAAATTAAATTATATAATAACGCGAAGCATAGTTCTTAGTGTTCCTATTCCATATTTTTAACTATATGACCTATCGAGTCCCAGAATGGAATTTTTTTTTTTTAACTGTGAATAATTTGGGACCGATATTTGGAAGAGTGCAGATTTTCTTTTTCTGATGTGGGCAATCAACCAACAGTCAGCATGCAAATCAGTCATTTCTGTGAAACAGATGTGCAAGCAAAACTAAAGTTCTGGAACAAGACTGAAGTCCAGAAGTGGATGAACAACTGGAACATTCAACTGGCATTTACCGCCGGTACAAATGAAGAAGAAGAAGAAGATTTTCCACCAGTTACCTCAGCAAAGCTATAGGGAAGATGTAAGGATCATCTACGTGTTTTTAATGCAGTACGATGGCTCCATATCACGAGCATTACAAATAATGATTTTTCTATGAAACCATACATTGATGATCTGCACACATTTCTCAAATATGAAACTATATGTAATATATACATTAAAAACAAAAAAGGATGATTACTCACTGGGCACTGCTCACATTTTGGACCGGTGTACTGACTATCACAGACGCATTTACCACACTCACATCTGCCATGACCATTGCAAAGCTGAAATACAGAGACAAAAGTGGTTTTCTGCGCACACATTTCTAAATAAATAACATGCATCATCATCGTCAACATACAGCAGAACATCACTTTCATTACCAGCGATAGTAAAAGCTTTCAATCTTTAACAAGTTTCCCTGTCTCATGCACTTTCATCCCCAAGATGCTGTTAATATATTGTGTCCACCTTTTTGCCTGTCAACTCCTGCATCTTTTACCAAGCCCTCTTTGACTGTTTTCAACTATAGAAAAAGTAAAATTTCAATTTGCCAAAGTTTTTAAATTTCCAGGACATGATCAATGTTTATGGCCTAATTTCCTTCATGCAGAAATTGAGAATGTCAATAACTGTCTTTTCAATTTGTAATACCATTACTGCCTATATATACAACTTGAAGGTGTAAGCCGGAGGTACCTTTGAGCCTGAGGATTCAGGGCCGCATGGCAAGTCGCCAAGCACTGTGCAAGTTAGGATTTAATTTTTGCCTCTACCAGAAAAAATCCACGATCTTACTGAGAATTGTAACCTGGGTCTCCAGCACAACAGTCTAGTGTTCTTAATAATTCAGTTGGATGCTCCACCTCGACAAGTATTTAAAGGCAAGGGTGATTCGTAAAGATGCAAAGTGTGGAGATTTCATATATAGTTCAGGTTACAATAAGGTGGTGCTACCAGTTCCCTTCACAGCCAACTTTCCTTCTGCAAATGGTTGGCTGTATAGTTCCTCTGGAAAACTAAGTTTTCATGAAACTACCAAGTCCGATACACTGACATGCAGTTTGTCTCAACCTGATAAGGGCCTGCATCCATCTTCTTCTTCATCTTCTGCATCTGCTGATTGTGAAAGTACTGGTGTCCATTCTTGTCTGAATTCTGATCCTGTTCCATAACACTTACATACATAACTATTTTACAGATCTGTCTCTCTGTTGGTTGCTTGCCTCTCATGCAGACGCACCCCATCTTAACAGGAAACATCAATCCTATCTACAATGGCCAGGCTCCTGGTACAAAACTTCTGTCTAGGATGACTATGGAGAAAAGACTTAAACCAATCTGGGTTTAGGTCCTGGTGCACTGTCACATATGCACCTCTGCATCACCAAGATGCATCATAGCAAAATGGTTGCAGAGACATTCCTCCCAATTTCATACTGAAGCATCATCTCCATGGGTAGCACTGCAGGACTCTCCTTCCTTTCTCCAAGTTCAGAAACCAGTGTGTTTGGTAAGACCAGCACCAGAACTTTATATTAGTAAAGAGGCAATCTTTATCTCAATCTCTGGAATGTTAGCCTTACTGGAGATCCAGTCTATGCAAAAGCAACATGAAGTAACTCAGATGAAAATTTTTTTTACAGTAACCTAGATCAACTTTGTGTATATGTGCACCTACGTGTGCATGTCTGGTATGTGAGCACATATGTTTAGTTTGTATATATCTTCTTCATCTTAGCTCTCACCGGATCAAACTCTGGCGGAAATATCTGGTTGTTCATCCACTCCTGAGCTTTGAACCAAAACCTGACTTTTGTGTGCACATTCATTTTACAGATCTGGCTTATTTGAATGCAGACTATTGGTTCCTTGCCTCTCAGGCAAATGCACACCAACTTTGAATGAAACCCTCCTAATTAGTGGCCTTCTATGACATGCTTGTGGGACGAGGGGGGGGGGGGGGGCATTGGGCCTATTCATGGTTCTCCAAAATGGAGCCTCAGAACCTACACGGGAAGTATGTCACATGAATGTGCAAGTGTGAGAGTATGCATTCAGTAAAATACTTGAAAAGAAATGCATTTAATAATTTTCACACACAAAAAACAAGGACTATTAGGATCTACTTACAACATCGCCAGTCCTACAGTTATCAGTGCTTTGTTCACATTCACAGGTTGAGCCATTGTAGCCTTCATTACAAGCACATCTACCACAGGAGCATTTGCCTCTCTCTGGACCTGCAGCAAAAGTGAAAATACTGTGTCACTGGCCTATAAATAAAAATGTTGGGTACAATATTTTTTACGTACCCCAAACACAGGGAATCCATGGGAATTCCACAGCTAACTGGACAGTCCACTATTTCAAGGGGTGCAAGTGTGCTGCTGTTGTTGATTGTTTATCTAGTGTTTTATGGTGTGACATAATTCTGTCTGTTGGAGCATAATCGGCTGCTTGTTGATGCGCAATTGGCTGGTCTACTATACTAGTCATGTTTTTAGCTACACAGCCAACGGTCGTGTCTTTCAGACAGCGATAGCAGCATCTAATGGTTGTTTCTGCAACTTCTCGTTCTGTGTAAAATACCATGCTGTTGCAATGCACTCTAGACATGGGAAAAACTCCAACCTTAACACCCTGGAAATTATTGGAATGTCTCGCGTGACATCATCATGACGTCGTGGGGTAAGTTAAAAATATTGTACCAAATGTTGAATGTTGAACTGAGAATCAACATCATAGCAATCAGGACACTTCCATAAGTCCTCCGTCCCCATATTCAGCAGCAAGGGAAGAGTTTCAATTCCTATCGTACTAGTAACTATCTGATTGTACATCTGTCTCGTCATTCGCCTGAGTGCTGAGCGTCGGCCAGATCCCCTAGTAACTCCCCGCAGCGCCAATTCATCAATACATCGATTCACCACCAAGTGGTGCAGTACCAGCCAGTCTATATTCCTACTCGTTTCCCAACACACCAGCAAGACCTAGAGAAAATATCCAAATCACAGGATGCTAAGCTACCCGTTGGCTTACAAATAAAAATATAAAAACGATTATAAGTGAACAATATTATTTCTAAGCAAGGCCGATTACAGGAAAACACATATATAATAAATAAGAAAATGATGAAGAAAACAACAGAAAAGAATTCAAAACATATTTATGGAATTAGTAAGTGTAAGTTAATCTACCGATTATCCTCACTGCACATCAGACAAGGGGATTCGCCGTGGCGTTGGTGGCTAACGCCCGCCTGCCGATCAGAAGGCTGTGGGTTCGCGTCCTGACTGAGCTTTACTTTTTTTTTTAATGACCATGACTCCCAGGTCGACCCAGCCTTGAGTGGGTACCAGGTGCAGTTCTGGGAAGTGAAGGCGGCTATCGTGATGCTGACCACATCACCCACCAAGTGACGATTGGTCTATAAAAATATAGGTCTAGCCCTATATTCCCAATACGCTTGAAGGCGTGAAAAAGGAACTTTTACTTTACATCAGACAACTCAGATCCAATCTTCAGTATCTCCCCTAGAGTGTGGCAAATGATAACACCAGTTTTGTGTTAGTTTACTATTCTTCTTTGGCTACCTGTGTTCAAGTTTGGCAATGTCTTCTTTAACCTGAGATTTTGTTGTCTTTTTAATGTTGCCAATTCACCACTGTCTCCTGAATCACCTACTCTTTTACGAATTAACAAAACTGGAATATAAACAAATTAAAAAACACTAATTTTTAACGGGTCAGAAATTGGCCAAGCCTACTAACTGCACATTCAGCCTCAATGAGAACTGTAAATCCAGTAGGCAAGCATCTGTCCACTGTGCTTTGAGATCTTTCTATATGACACTAATCACATATTTGAATAATGGTACTCAATGTCTGTTGTGGTAATATATCCTTCTAGTGGCCAGTATTTCCAGAACACTCACTTTCCAGTGCTCAATTCAGGCTAGGGCAACCTGGTAGCCCACATCAATATACAAAGTTTGCCTCAATCTTTAAACCCGGGACCACTGGGCTAACAAGGTAGCAAGCAAAAAGATGCTGCATAATGAGTAAGGAAAGGAGAGGGAACCCCCTTCCCCCCTCCAAAAAAAAACTTCACTGAAACTCACCTCCACAAAGCTGCTCCTCGTAATGACCACAGGAATAGTCATCACATTCACAGAAGGGTCCACTAAATGTCTGTGCCGAATCTCTAGCACGTGAATTACAAATGCACTCCCCACATAAACAAGTGCCTCGTCCAGAACAAGGCAGTGTTGCATTAGGCCTGTAATAGGTATTTACACACTGACGGTATTCAGGAATTGAAGGACACCATGTTTAGATATAGCATGAAAGGTAAATACGCGAGAATGCGGAGTTAAGTATGGGTCTTGCAGGAGGGAAGGGGGGAACAAACGGAAGGAAGAGTATGATGTGTTTACAAGCGTGCTGCTGGACAGATTAGTTTGTACAAACAACAACATTTGTATGTTATATGATGCTGATTATTTTTGAAAAAGATCAAATAGGTTAAGTCAAACACACAAAGTCCCCCATGTGGGTTCCGGGGCCCTATTGTTGGATAAAACAAGAATAAACCCACTGCCTACCCAAAAGCATGTCGTAAGAGTCAACTAATTGGCAGCTTCCTTCGAAGAGGCAAGCAACCAGCAGTCTACATACAAATGAGTCAGATCTGTAAAACGGATGCAATTGCAACACTCAGGTTCTGATACACGAATGAAGTCCAGAAGTGGATGAACAACCAGAACTTTTGGCCAGAGTTTACAGCTGGTGAACACAAAGAAGAAGAAACACACAAAAAATAAACATGTTCACTACAGCTGATGAAGGAATGACATGCTATAAATTTTACATTGTAGGGAGATTTCCTCATTTTTGGAACTTTATCAGGGCTACAGTAGACTAGAGTCTTCATCTTACAATTTTTAACACTTCATGGATCTTTTAACATGCACAGAATGCATAGAGGTCGCAATTCTTGCATAATTTTTCTAGCAGGCTGAAATTCTCTACCCTAGAATCAGGATGGTAGTATAACTCCCAACTTCCATGGTTGCTTGAAATAAGTTTTTTTTTTTTTTTATAGATGAGAGGACTGACTTCATAGCATTTGGCATTATTCCCAATGTCTCAGTCAAAAGTTTCAAAGTGGCTGCTCATCCTCTGAGAGCATCTTAGAAAGCATACAATTTTGTTGCTCTAGCAAAGATCCGCAAATATCTTCGAAACTAGTGTACTCAAGAACTAAAGGACATTCAAAAACTGAAGACTGCAAATAATCACCTAATAATGCTTGAGTTTAGCTAGTTTGATTCATTATTCTTCTCATTCCCTCTGAATGTGTACTTGTTACAGCTGTTTATAGAAAAATTACTTTTATTTCATATTCTAATTCTCATTAAACCTTCAATAAAATTCCTGGACAATATTAAAAAACTACTACCCATACTACACCCCAAATACGCATTATTTTTTAAACAATTGTTATTTGTAAATAAAAACAAAATTTCACATTACGGTAAAGATGACTAAGCAATAGTATCCTCGTTCAGAATCAAGCTGCAGCAGTTCTACAAAACAAAACTGTTCACTGAATTAAGCAATTCAGACTCTGACCACACAAAAGCATCAAGAGAAGCGTTAAAGTAATGAAAATCAATTCATGCAATGCATTAGACAGAGCACACAGAAGATCTTTCCATCTTTGGCCAACTTAGATGAATAGCCAGAGGAAGAGGAGGAGAACAAGGGATTTTAATTATTGTAAAGCTCCCCGTGTGGGTTCTGGGGCCCCACTGTGGAAAAAACAAGAAAAGACCCACCGCCTCCCTTACATGCATGTCATAAGAGTCGACTAACTGGGGGCTTCCTTCGAAGTCAGACTGCGTCTGCCTGAAAGGTAGGGAACCAACAATCTGCATACAGTTAGGTCAGATCTGTTAAAAAGATGTGCACACAACACTTAGGTTCTGGAACCAAACTAAAGTCCAGAAGTGGACAAACAACCAGAACTTTCTGCCGGAGTTTACAGCCGGTAAACACAATAAAGAAGAAGAATTATTGTAAAGCCCCTGAAAGATCCTCCTATGTATGGTAATGTAATTATTGAGCTATGGAATTTGTTAAATTTGTCACCTATTATTACTTGTATAGATGTGTGATGTTTATAAAGAGATAATGATGAAAATAACACCCCCCCCCCCCCCCCCCCCCCCCCCCAACCCCACCCCCCAGAAAATTACATAGTTTAAAAAAAATTAAGTCAAACAAACAATGTAATGAGTTGATTTAACAGTTCAACTTACGCAATACACTGTTTAAGTGATTCTTTACTGGTAATATCATCTGCTTTACATTCACAGACTTTCCCATATCTTCCAGGATTACATGTACACTTCCCACATTCATATGTGCCATTACCATTGAAACATCGCTCGCTGTTGATTTCCTGCAGCAAACATGAGAAATAATTGTACTTCCTGAGAGACATGATTCCCTACAGTAAATATAAGTCATTATAATTTCCTACAATAAACATGACAGAAAAAAATAATTTCCATTGGTACACAAGACAGAATATAATTTCCTGTAGTAAAGAGGAGATAGAATGTTTTTTTTTCCTGCTGCAAACATAATAGACAATATAATTTCCTGTTGCAAACATAAAAGACAAAGTAATTTCATGTAGTAAACATGACAGACAAGATGACATGTCTGTAATAAAGAGGTGATAAGATGTTATTTCCTATAGTAAACAAGAGGGACAACATAACTTTCTCATATGAGACGCAGTATAAATTCCTGTCCTGTCCACAAACAGCTGTGCTAAAAGGAAAGACCAACCTATATAGCTATGTATTTTCATTACTTAGTCTAAACGTATAACACAACACCTTCAGATATGGTGTGTGAGCTGATATACAAACCATCATGACAGCCTTGAACTAAAAAAAAAAATCATAAACCACAACATGCTGTTTATTCCAGCAAGACGGAGTGAAATAATTGGCGGCTTTGCTATCTTCACAAAAGTATTCTAATTATCTATGTTTGGAGCATAAGTATTCATGTTCATTACCTCAAAATACAGAGAATAAGACTTGTGGGCTGTATGTGTTATTACTGTTTACTGATGATGAAGGCTTGTCACCATAACATCCATTCTTTGGTTACTGTAACTGTGATTTGATAACATGACCTATACTTTGTGTTTTCCAATTTTTAAAATTACTAATGCTGTAAGTGTAGTTAAACACACCTAATTTATGTTAGGAACAACAACTACAAGGAATAGAAAAGGTTAAAATGAAGCAAAGGATAGCATGAAGTATATTTCACCTCATTTTCTGGTTTCTCACATTCACATTCACAGATGATATCAAGGTCTAAGGTTAACTTCTCCTGGAAGCCAACAGGTCTGATTGACAGCTCTTTGCGCCATTGCCTTCTATCAGCTGGACAAGCAGAAACTGTCACTTCCACATTAAAGGTAACCTATGGAGATAGAAGCACACAACCACAATCAGTGAGTACAGAAAAATTTATAACAGCAGTCTAAAGGAAGATACTGGCAATGCGGTTTTAGTGTTATACTCTCGTCGGTCATCAGTCAAGGTGCTAAAGTCCCTGCAGATGGGTCAGGTTGCCCCATAACTGCTTGGTTCTTTTGCCAGTGGAAATCACGCAAAATGTCTTTCTTTGTCCCATTCAAAAAATAGTGAAAAACTTGTCAGTCCCAGCAAAATCCTGACTGCACACAAAAAGTAAAACTGCATAAGGCAGCTGTCTGACAAGCCAACACTAACGATCGACACCAGAATGGCAGCTCACTGTAGTAGCAATTAGTCAGTCATGAAAGCCAGCATTGCAGCTGCAAAAGTACATGCCATTCTGAATGTAATCTGCGCAATAAACAACATGCCACAGGCACAACAGAAAAAAACCCGATTCCACTGGAAATCCACAATTCGCAGCACCAAGCACTCAACCAAGTTGCTGGGCAACAGAACCTTAGAGTTCCTGGCCCAGAAATGGCGAATTTGCATCAGCAAACTTAGCTGGAAATAAATAACTTTTCAAAGCGCCAGGAGTCAGCCACCTAATAGCCAGAAGTTTAGGGGGTTATACTCTTATCATAACCAAGTCCAGAAAAATGTAGTGGATGGCCACTTGTCATCTTCACAAACTTTTCTGCCCAAAAAATGTTTAAAATTGTCTGCTACCCATCTCATGAGGCATACTTCTTTTTTTCTGTCTTTGCATCCACTGGAGCCGTTTAGTGAATCTGCTAAGACATTCACCTGCAAATCTGAGGGTTGTGTGTTCAAATCCAAACGGAGCTATACTTTAAGAAATGACCCTGGCTCCCAGATCAACCCAGCCTTTAAAGAGTACCAGGTAAAAGTCATGGGAACTAAAGGTGGTCGACATGATGTTAACTATATCACCAACTTAAGCCCGGCTCTCTAGCGTAGTTAGCTAAACCAGATTGCGCGGAGACCGGGTGACAAACTCCTTGTGGTCCGGGTTCAATCCCGGGGGTAGGCAGGAAAGCCACATTTTCTCTTCACAGATTTACGGTATTTACAATGGAATCAAGGCCGAAAGGTTGTGATATCCATAATCCCGGGCCTAAGGGTTAACAACTCATGGCTTCTGGATACTAAAACAAACAAACATCACCAACCTAGAGCCCACTGGTCTATAAAATATAGGTCTAGCACTATATGCCCAATACACCTAAAGGCGTGGAAAAGGGTCTTTTACTTGACTCTGAAAGTCAGAAAACTATTCTCCACTGCAGTACTGTTAGCTGCAAAATAAATACCCACTTGGCTATGGTCATGAGAAAGAAATGCTAAGAAAGTGTGCGGATAACTTCTCATTTATGAGGGAGTGAAATCCTCATTCTGACACTTATGGCAGTCTGCTATAGCATGAAATGTACAGATAACAGATGAAAACTGTAAACTAATTAGAGAAATCAGATGCTGACTGTCAACATTTTTCTATATGTTATGAGTGATAAACTTAAAAAGTTAGTGCCTTAACTGGCAAATCTGATAAGACAAAAGAAACAGGAAAACAAAAAAGATAAAAATATCTGTATAGTTTTACTAAATGGTATAATCAGAACCTAATCTAAAGCGATGAACAATGTGGATTTGTAGAAGGAAAAGGTACAAACAATGCCATATACATCCTAAGGACATTGTCAGAAAGAGCTATAGAAATAAAGACTGATTTGTTCTTATGCTTCATAGACTATACAAAAGCATTTGACTGTGTGAAGCATGAAGAAGTAATCAAACTGTTAGAAACATTAAACATTGATGGGAAAGATCTAAGAATAATAAAGAATATGTATTGGCAGCAAACAGCAGCTATAAGAATTAACAACTGTTTAGGTACATCTCAAAGCATAAAGAGGGGCATACGACAAGGATGTGTACTTTCACCTGATTTGTTTTCAATATACAGTAAATATATTATGAGATCTTTAATTGATATGCCCGGAATCATGGTTGGTGGGCACAATATAAACAATTTACGTTATGCCGATGACACAGTCTTGATAGCAACAAGTCAGAAAGAATTACAGGAAATGATAGACATTGTGGTGTTAGAAAGTGGAAGAATGGGCCTCAGTTTGAATAATGGGAAGACAGAAGTAATGGTGGTATCAAAGAAACAAATTATTCCTAAATGTGTAATAAAAGTCAATGGTGTTATTTTAAGACAAGTACAGAAATTTAAGTATCTGGGCACATGGATAACATCAGATGAAAGATGCATAACTGAAATAAGAAACAAAATTGGACAGGCAAAAACTGCATTTTATAAAATGAAAAACATCTTATGCAATATATCCTTGTCATTGAGAGTTAGAAAAAGAATTCTTGCTTGCTACATACATCCAGTTTTAACATATGGATGTGAATCCTGGACAATCGGTAGGCAGGCCAAACAATTTTTAGAGGCCTCAGAGATGTGGTTTTACAGAAGAATGCTTAGAAAACCTTGGACAGCCAAAAAGAGCAACCAAGAGGTTTTAAAAGAGGCGGGAGCCCGAAGACAACTTATCACTGACATCAGGAGGAGACAGTCATCATTTTTCGGCCATGTTATGAGAAGAGGGAAAATAGAACATGTTGTGACCACTGGAAAGATCTGTGGAAGGAGGGATAGAGGAAGACAACGAGAGAAGATGCTTGACAGTCTTGTTGCATGGCATGGAGGTGTGTCGGCACACGAACTGATACATGCTGCAGGAGATCGCAGATTATGGAGAGGCATGATCGCCCACGCCAGTCGGCAAGGCACCTGATGATGATGAATCTAAAACTGGTGATCGCAAAAATGGTGACCATGAAATCACATCCTTTATCATCTCTGCATATTATAAATTATATCAAGCACCATAGTGGACTGGAAAAAATAAAAGCAGAAGGCATGGTACCAGGAAGGAGAGGCAGGGGCCGACCAACATGAAGATGGGCACAGGATATAAGTAGCCCCTTGAATTTAGAATAGAAGTACAGGAGGCGGGAGAGCTGACGAGAGACCAAGTTTCTTTCAGGCAGACCGCTATGAGAGTGACATTCTGCAAAGGACCTGCTACATGATGATGAGGATGTTGATAAATATGTTAAAGAATAAATATAAGTTCACTTTAATTTTCACAAATCATTTACTTACAGTCTGTCCGATTTTCAGATTTCCACATTCATTGGTTTTCCCCTCTTCCGTGCTAATTAAAATAAAATGAAAATATATTCAAATCTTCGGTAAATCATAATTATATGTGAAACACAATTGCTTTTAAATACTCAATGCAGTCACATTTACAAAACAAAATGAAACACACAAAAAAAGGTATTATAAGATTCAGCAAAGAAAAATCAAATACAAACTTATACACTCACTACCTCACTCACACAGATGCTAGCACCAGAATTTCAAAATACAATTTTTAGTCTCAGTTTAGTTCCAGACTTCCCTTGGGTGTGGACCACGAGTGCACACCCCAAAGACAAAATATTACTAATACCTGAAGGTCATAAAATGCCTTTGTGATGTGATAAGACCATACAAGTAAATCTGCGGGCAACAGGAACTTGGTAGCTTGATTATGACCTTTTATCACATCTTCTCCATTTATGTTCACTGGCTTTAAACTCCGGTGGAAAGTTCTGGTTGTTCATCCACTTCTTGACTTACGTTTGCTCGAAAACCTGTGTTTTGCTTGCACATCAGTTTTAGAGCTCTGACTTATTTGTATGCAGATTGTTGGTTCTTCACCTTCCAGGCAGATGCACTCTAACTTCAAAGACAACATCCCTAATTAGTTGACTCTTATGACAACGCTTGTTAGGGGGCAGTGGGTGTATTCGCCACCCCCCCCCCCCTTTCCCATTTCCGATTCATATATTTTTTGGCCTAAACCAAAACCGTTCTCTGGTTCACCAGGCTGCATATCCTTCCATCATGGCTCCTTGCAATTTTGGCCTGCTTCTGAAGCTGAAAGTGCGGATAGGGACTTGATTTGAGGCATGAGAAGACATTATGCAGAACACAATGACCAAGCTGTACTCGATTTTGAACGAGGCCTTCTGGAAATGTTTCCAACAATGACAAGACTGTTGGGAGAAGTGTCTGCAGCATGAAAGAGACTACCCTAAAAGGGATAAGGGAACTGTACTTTTCCTAGCCACAGGATAGATACTTTTTAACCTGATCTCATATTTAGTGACTGAAAATATGGCCCTTGCAATTGAAATAACTTAATATCATAAACAGTGATTCTTGATATTGTACTTGTAGAACAAGCGTTCACCGCTTAAACTCTGGTGGAAAGTTCTGGTTGTTCAACCGCTTCTGTACTTTGGTCCTGCTCCAGAACTTGACTTTTGCATGCACACCCATTACACCAATCTAGCTTATTTGTTTGCATACTGTTGGTTCCTTGCCTCTCAGGCAGATGCATTCAGACTTCAAAAGAAACATCCCTAATTAGTCGCCTTGTTAGAGGGAAAGTGGGTCTATTCACCCCCCCCCCCCCCCACCCCAAATTGGGACCCTCAACCAACACAGAGAGAAACAGCATATAATAACATTCATACAAATACACCTACCCAAAACAACGAGAGTAGAACTCTACTGTAACATTGTCAGAAACATTGTATGCTCTTAAAGTGACCTTCGAGGTAATTTTCTGGGAAGAAAACAAGATATGAGAAAATATAAATGAAAGCAAATGTCATCTAGTTTACTTATTTAGAACTGATACTACTGCATTAATGGCAAGTACCATGATCCCCCCCCCTCCCCCATGCTTATTGTTATGGCCAAAGTGTTGGTGTATTTAAAGGCTTTTCTAAAATACTGTTACGGAAATATCTGCCATAAAATTATATCTAGCTTTAACTAAATTAGAGATACAATAGAACACTACCTAGTATACTAGGTATTGGGTTCGAACCTGCATAGAGTTGGATTTTATTTTCAAAACAGACCTCAGCTCCCTGGTCTGCCCAGCTTAAAATGGGTATGAAGTAATGTCCTGGGAAGTAAAGGTAGTCAGCACGATGTTGATCACATCACCCACTGGGTACCGACTGCTCTATGAAAAATTTGAGTCTCATACCGAATGCTCTATAAAAAATACGAGTCTTAACATCATATGCCCGATACTTGTTACTTTACTTACTGGGTAGTATGCTAGCAAAGTGGTCACATGTCTGAATTCCAATCTTCTCCTTCTCATCCACCTTGTACCTCAGAAAAGTGTTGGGGAGAGATGTAACGTTCGTTGATGAGCTCTGTCAAGAGCATCATTTCTGTGAGGCTGTTCTTAATGCCATCACTCCATCTTTTCCGAGGTCTTCCACTCGCTCTATACCCGTTGTAACGTTTTAGTGTGGCTCGCTGTGGCAGACAGTACCAGGGCATTCTTGTAAGGTGTCCAAATTCCGTTCTACAAAGCATTAATTACTGTTGAATCGTCCTGGGTTCTAAATGTCTACACAGCCTGACATGAATCCAGAAAATGTTCTCGGAAATATATGTGGCTGGTAGTATATTGACAACCTCACCTTTAAGTAGGGTTCACAATTCATTGAGGCAAGAAATTGCAAATTCTGCGGCATGTTTTATCAAATTCTGCCGCGCAGCTAAGGCATTACTATAAGGTTAATTCGCAATCTAAGCAAAACTGATGCAATTTTTATTATTCCTAGTCAGTAATCATAATCAAATAAGTGTATCACATTGTTAATCCACAGATTTGCTTACATTCATAATATTGTTCTCAATAAACCATCAAATAATATTTCTTAAGTTATTATTGACTAATTATTGAAGAAAACGGAACTGTAAAATCATGTTTTCTTGTGACACAAAATACAGCAGTTGTAATATAAAAGATCCAAATTTTGAGAATGAGCATTTTACATCAACAAAAGATATTGGCAATGCAATGCAAACTTTAGCGAGAGCTGCTGTGTTTTTTTATTTCCATGCTCTGCATGCTAATGTGTCCCAAGATGATCAGTTATAGTTTAGCATCTAACATGATCAACCACTTTATTACAAGTCTGACACCACAGTAAACCAACTTCGACACAGAATTTATCCTCTCCAAATTCATTAACTCGCTGTATCGGTTCACTGCGTTTTACTGAGTTGCTTATTATTGTATCCAAACTGTTTTCATTATGTGGTATACATATATATAATGAGATCTATCATGGATATGCCAGGAAATGTGGTCAGTGGTCACCAACGATACGCTGATGATGCTGTCTTGATAAATCAGGAATGGCAACAGGGACTTATAGTGCCTAAATTTATAATAAAGGTCAAGGGCGTTATTTCAGGACAAATACTAAAATGTAAGATTCTAGAAACATGGATAACATACGATGGAAGATGTATCACAGAGATAAAGAATAGAATAGGAAAGGCTAAAACGTAATTTAAATATTGAAGAACATTCCATGCAGTAAATCTATGTCAATGGAGGTTAGGAAAAGAATTCTCGAAAGCGATTTTAAACATATGGCTGTGGACAAATTTGAAAAAAAAAATTTCTTTAGACCTTGTACTTGTAAAGAATTATCCCTAGAATTCCTTGACAGCCAAAAATAGCAACCCAGATGTTTCAAAACAGGCGAGGACTCGAAGACAACTTATCACAAACATCAGAAAAAGACAGCCGTACTTTTTTCGGTCATTATATGAAAAGGAAACTGGAACACTTTGTGACCACTGGAAAGATCTATGGAGAGAGAGGTAGAGGAAGACAACGCAATACAATTTCTGACAGCCTTTTGTCATGGCATGAAGTCGCTTGATCACACCAAGTGATACCTGTTGCTGAAGACCGCAGATTGAGGAGAGTCATGATCGCCTATGCTGGTTGCCCAGGCACTTGATGATGTGTTTGTGGAGAACCTGAAGCAAGAGTTACCTCATAATTATCCTGGATGAGTTTCACAATGTTGGATGAGTCGTTGGCAAGTTCTCCTGTGGTAGAACTTTCAATGATGCGACTTAGCTTCTCGTACACTGGGAACTGGTCCTTGGTGACAGCAAATATGACACTGACAGCTTTCTCCTTGATCTTGCTGGCAATTTGACTAACTGAAGGGTAATCCTTTAGAGAGATCAATAAACATTATATTTACATCAACAATTATATAGTTTATAAATTTATTTGTTTCCAACCATTAGCTAACTTATCAAATTCAATAAAATGGTGATGCAAAGTTGCTGAACCCCACATAGGAGTGCAACAAAAACAAGGGTTCATAATAATCAGGACCTATTTACACTTCTCCACAGTCACCCTATCATGTTATGAGAAGAAGGAAACTGGCCCCTATTGTGACCACTGGAAAGATCTGTGGAGAAAAAAAGAGACATAAGAAGACACAAGACAATTCTTTAAAATTGTTGTCATGGCAGGTACGTGGCATGGAGGGGTGTCATCATACAAAATGAGACATGTTGCTGAAGATCGCAGATTGTGGAGAGGCAAAATTGCCCATGCCAGTCGGTAAGGCAAATGATGATGATGTTGATGATGTTCATCCTAGAAACAGGTTCCCAACCGGAGGCCTGGCCAACGCAGCCACTATCGATGTTTCATTTGAAGTCAAACTGCATTTGACTGAGAGGCTACAAACCAATTGTCTGCACCAAAATAGGTCAGATCTGTCAAATGAATGTGCATGCAAAACCTAGGTCCTGGAACAATACATAAGTCCTGAAGTGGACGAACAATCAGGACTTTCCGTGAAAGTTTACAGCTGACGAACAAGACAAAAAAGAAGGTTAAATAATAGGCGACTATTTAGTGTTGTTTCCTATGATGTCAGAGTGCATGTGCCCATGAGGCGAGGAACCAACAGTCTGTACAAATAAGCCAAATCTATCAAATGGATGTGCAGTCAGAATTGAAGTTCTGGAACAATACATAAGTCTAGAGGTGGACGAACAGCTAGAACTTTCCAGCTGGTAAGCCCTATAAAGAAGAAGAAGAAGAAGAAGAAAAGAAGGGGACCTCAGCAACATGGTCCCTGTGCATACAGTAAACTGGTACCAGGATGGGTGAATTATTTCTACACAATCACCGACCTCACTATGAGGGATGTAAGTCTATTTCAGGGTTCAGACAAGCTGAATGTCAATAACCTGGACTTGGCTATAATTCCTATTTATCCTGTGTCTCCGAGTGGGTTCTGGGGTCCCAGTGAGAACAAAAAAAAAAAACAGACCCCCTGCTTCCTTAACAAGCATGTCGTAAAAGGCGGTTAAATAGGGATTTATTTGTTCAGAAGTTGCAACACATCCGCCTTAGCAGCAAGTAACCAACAGTCTGCATACATGTAAGCCAGATCTATCAAATGAATGTGCATGCAAAACTCAAGTTCTGTAACAAGACTGAAGTTCAGAAGTGAATGAACAACCAGAACCAGAGTTTACAGCCCGTGAATGCAAAGAAGAAGAATAATGTGCATTGGTACCAGGTTGAATGCAAAGTTTTCACACCGTTCATATTTTGATAGATACAAGTCTTTGTTTTCTTCTTCTTCGCGTTCACCGGCTGTAAACTCCGGCAGAAAGTTCTGGTTGTTCGTCCACTTCTGGACTGCAGTCCTGTTCCAGAACCCAAGTGTTGCGTGTGCATCCGTTTGACAGATCTTACTCATTTGTATGCAGATTCTTGGTTCCTTGCCTCTCATGCAGATGTACTCCGACTTCATAGGAGGCTCCCAATTAGTCGACTCTTACAACATGCTTTTGGGTAGGCAGTGGGTCTATTCTTGTTTTCCCTATAAGAGCGCCTCGGAACCCACATGGGAAAGACACAAGTCTATTTCAGGGCTCAGACAAGCTGAATGCCATTAAACTGGACTTGGACAGCTACAATTCTTAGCTTTCCTGTGAAACGCATAACCAGTCGATCAACCATCCATGTTTAAATAATTTCATATTTAAGATAATCAGAACTTACAAGGTTAGAACTCTCTGTGTACAAATCATTTCGCATGTGACAGTGACCATCGTTAGGTGTCACAATGCCTCCAAAAAAAAAAAAAAAAAAATACAAATGGCATCTTTTATTGTATGTTGAAAATATTTGAAAATGCTGGTTGCTAACATTACAAATTATTAAGTAGTTTTTCCTGCTAAAAATGTATTAATAACAATTTGATGATCTAACAGTTAAATAATACAACACAACACCCAAGTCTATAAATAAATTCTTAAACATGTGAACAGGTATGTCAGAACAGTCCTCGAGAAATAAAATGCCTTTAAGAGGTCACAGCAAGAATTGCCATGGCAAAAGTAGATTGTAAGATAACAAATGTACTATAAAAAAAAAAGTTAATTGCAGTAAGAAAAATGAATATTTCAGTGCTATATAGAACCTATACTTGTGTATACATGTGCAAAACAGGCAATAAGCAGGAAAGATAAGAACGAACGAACGAACTTTATTTAGAAACTTCTAATGGCAGTGGAAATGTTTTTTTTTAAAATGAAAATGCCGAAATTCCCATGAATGGACATAAAAATGAAGAAGCAGCCCTTCAAGATTAAAAACTATAAACTCGCATAAATCAGACACAGAAAGTCAATATTTGTTTTGACATGAAGAGAAGTAATCTTGAAAACATAGTGACAACTGGGAAAGCTGATAAAGGAATAAAAAAAGAGCAATGTAAAGATGGTTAAACTGTATGACATAAGTGAGACAGAAAAGTAAGGCATGATCCAAAATGGTGGTGATCATATCATCATCATCATGTAGCAGGTCCTTTGCAGAACATCGCTCTCATTATGGTCTGCCTGAAAGAAACTCGGTCTCTCGCTAGTTCTCCCGCCTCTAGTACTTTCATACAGGAGTCACTTATATCCTGTGCCCATCTTCGTGTCGGTCGGCCCCTGCCCCTCCTTCCTGGTACCATGCCTTCTGCTATAATTTTTTTCCAATCAGTCATGGCGCTTGATATGACCAAATTATTTCAGCTTCCGAGACAGGATGCTGTTCATTAGCCAATCTTCCTTGATGTTCAGATCTTTCAAGATGTCAGTATTTCTCCTCTTCTTTGTCCAAGATATTCTGAGAATCTTTATATAGCAGTTTAGCTCAAAAGCCCCTATTCTCTTTCTTAAGGACTGAGAGATAGTCCATGACTCACATCCGTATGTAGCCACAGGAAAGATGCATGCTCTCAAAATTCTAATTTTGATCTCCTTGCTGGTGCTTAACCATATACTTTTAAGGCTGTTTAATCTTTGCATTGCTATAGCCATCCTCCTTTTAATTTCTGTCAAACAGTCTCCATTGCTATTTTTTACAGAGCCTAGATATTCAAAGTTTGCGACATTTTCAACTGGTGATCATATAAGAGGGTGAAATATGACCGTCCATAATTATCGGCACAGCACAAGATGATGATGATAACAGCAGTCAACTTAATAAAAATGCTCTGTCTATATCTTTTCTCCACTCCTGGAATGCCTGGCAGCCTCAGGGAAGGAAGCATAGTGAATGTTAGAAGTTATGTTTGACAATATTCTTGCCAATTCATCGTTATGAAATTCAACTAAATATGAATGCTCAAAATGTTACTAACATTTAGTTTATGTCCTTGTGACTAAATTGGCCGGAATGTTCAAATGCATCGCAGCAGCAGTTTACAGGTGGGTATTATTATTGATAGATAATTAATAGAAAATGCTGAATCTGACGCTGCATGAAAAAAGTCTGGCCCAACTTCACACTATAAATGATCATACAAATCTATAGTATGAAAAAAGCAATTACAGATGTTTAATCTTTTTCAACATAGCTTAGCATGATCTCTGGCGTAATGCTGACCACATACCCACCCAGTGCCAACTGGTCTGTAAAAATATGGGGTGCTCTTCCCATATGCCTGATGCGCCCAAAGGCATGAAAAGGGATCTTTACTTTTTAATTTTTTTTAGCACAATTTAATGTTTTACCTTTCCATCACCAGCGTAGTGAAATCCAGCATCTGTGGAAAACACCAACATGCGACGAGAGATCTGCCTCCAACCAATCTCATCCTGCAATCAAATAAATCAAACACATTATTATAATAATTTTTCACTGTTCAATGTTCATTTAAAGATATCTTCATCACACATGACAATATGTGCTCCAATCTCCTCCTGAGTATGTCTAAGTATTTTTAGGCTAACAACTCTCATTCTGTTCTGGTTTATGTAACAACAGGTGGTTCCTGCATGGTTTTCGTGTCTCTAAGCTCCACTTGGTGTACCTATGGTACCATATTCCACAAAACTGAAAGCCCTCACAGCGTTTAGTCTCTCATATGGCATTGATGATGTCTCTCCTGCCCATAGATGGCCCATTCCTGATAGTCATCATTACATCAAATTATTAGTTATATTAAAGCAAGGAGAATAAAAACAGTTTCTGATGGGCAAAAGGTGTTTGTATACCATTAAAAAAATGTTTTTTAAATTATGTTTCATTGCTACTGAAGTCTAATGATAATAATTTTACTGTCAACCAGTAGTAAAATAAACTGCTTTTGGTCCCTGTGAAGGTTCACACACCTTATGATTATATGTTGTAAGGCACTGCAGTTATTGCCATAGTGCCAGATCTGTTGCAATGGTTAACGTAAGCCTGTGCTAATGTATTCCAGCCATCTGTTCCTGGATCTTTCTAGTGCTCTGTAACCACTTTCTTCCACAGATGTAAATATACAAGAGTCGTTTTGGTGGTTCTATTCTCATTAAATGACTGCACCATCTAATGTCTCTGTCTCTCTATGCAATCAATGCTGCTCATCCCATTTCAATGATTTTATTATTTCTTGGTCTGTTCTAGTTTGATTGATAGCTCTCTTCTCAGGCATTGTATTGTATCTCAGGGCCAGTTAGAGCTCAATTTCCCAACTTGTTCTACAAAAAAGTTAGAGCCCTGACAAACAAATGCACATAAATCTCACCTCACACACAACTGCCTGCATGATGGCATCAAATCCGCCTTCAGGAGCATCCAAGTTTCCAGAGACACGAGCTTCTCTGACTTTTTTCTGTGAAAATATTGATTTGAAATATTTAATGTGACTACAAAATACAACTGAAGAATTACCCATGTGAATCTAAAGAAAACTCAGCTTTGCATGATAAACATAATGTTAATATATATTTTCATATTTTTCTGTCTTTTATCCCCAAATAAAGCATAAGCTATCAACCAGATGTTGGACCAAGTCGTTAATCCTTAAAGTCCAAGTCAAGTTCCAAGTAACTGCCATCAGTCTCAAGTCTCATCACTAAAAATCCTTCCTGTTCAGCTCCCAGTCAAGTCACTTCATGTATCAAGTCCTTTGCAAAGTCATGCAAATTTATTTATTTAAGTTCACTATAATAAAGATCAATCAAAAATGGTGAAAAATACAAAACAAGAAAAGGCACTGCAAAAAACTCACTGAACTATATAGTACACAATGAGTGCCAAAATATGTTCTGGTAAGTTACGGAATCGAATCTGATGGTGACCCAAATCACACGTCAAGTGATGACTACTTTTTTTTTTAAAAAGAAAGCGCCCAATGCCCATTATGCTTCATTATCTGGAAACAGGACTTTTACTTATTAAACTCTGGATAATTAAAATCATAATTACGGCAAATTTATCTGTCTCAAGATCCAGACGTAGTTGATTTTTGAAGCCGTAAGGTTTCTCACAATCCTGACCTGTAATCATCTGACATGGAACTTCCCACCTGAAACAAACACAGAAGGCCAGATTTAGCACCCAGAGCTATCAACATCTACTGGTGCTCAACAACGGGTACTTCAGTCTTTGGGAAGTCAGGATATACTGCTTTGTACCGTCTTTCCCATCCGGAACAAATTCACGGGGTCCATGCTATCATTTACCTTCTTTTCTTCTTCTTTGCATTACCAGATGTAAGCTCCAGTGGAAAGTTATGGGTGTTCTTCCATTTGTGGTCTTTAATCTTGATCCAGAACTTGAGTTTTGTGTGCATATCCATTTCACAGCTCTGATTTACTTGTAAGCCTACTGCTGACATCCGGCAGATGCACTTTGACTTTGAAGGAACTCATTTACAAAACAAACACACACAAAAACATGATGTAATCCTTTTTGCAATTCAGTATATATAAATTATTATAAGTTCCTCAGTCTAACTAATAAAAAGATAGGGCCCATGGAAGCCTTTTGAAAATAATAGGGATCCACGGGTTTTAGCTAACTGAGAACTACTATCTTAGTCAACTGAGGGTTTAGAAACAGAGCAGTGAAAAAGTAAACCTGATCTGCTGCATCCTTTGCGAATCTTGGAATGCAAAAGAATAAATCAGATACAGGCTGGCAAAAACAGAGATAAAGTCGGAAAGTTAAAATTAAACATGAGAAGATGAACTTTATGCACTGGCTGTTTTCAGATATGGCCTTGGTGTCTCTTTCTGCAGAATGACCAGCTGCCTGTTGTGAGTGCTGCATATAGAACAAACTCCACAGCTCCAGTGACATTTCCAGAGATCTCTGTAAAACCTGCATTTCCGACTTGAAGTGCCGTGTGTGCGTGTGCACGCGAGCTCAAACAAGCATGTTATATAGGATAAAAAATTAAGGATCTGCTAAAATTGGATCTCTTGGGCTGAAGGTGCAGATATCACAGCCTAGCTGTAAACCGCAATATAATGTGCCAACCAACATTTAAAGAGTGAAGGCAAGAGAAGAACGTCTTGTGAAGAGAAAAGAAGCACTGAAGAGCTTTATGACAAGTGGAAAGATCAGTCTTCTCTCTTCTTCTTTAGCTTCCATTAGCTGTAAACTCCAGCAGAAAGGTCTGTTAATTCATCCACTTCTGGACTTGAGCTTTGTGTGCACATCCATTTCACAGATCTGGCTTATCTGTATGCAGACTGCTGGTTCCTCGCCTCTCAGGCGGATGCACTCCGACTTCAAAGGAAGGAAATATCAGTGGTAGAAGAGACAGAGAAATCATGCTGGATGGGCCAAGACAGTGGCATGAAGGAATATCATGAATAGAATCAATCCAAAACACCAAGAGTCAAGATCTGTGGAGAGATATGAATTTCTACAGTATCTATGAAGTGTTAATACGTCTTAATATTCAGTCTTTTTCTGCATTCACCATCTTAAGAGTGTTTGGCACATTATGCTGGGAATTACAACTAAGGAGCAATATTTGAATATTTGTGGCTTTCAGCCCAATACATCCATCAATTGGTTGGCTGGATCCACTATCACTACTGATGGGCAACCTATGGATCATGCTGATATTATTAATGCCCTAAGAGAAATGGAAAGGGTGGAAGACTTTGGGGGCAGTGAATCCACATCACTTGCCAGAATGATATACTTGGGAGTTCAGATCAGCATGGCAAAACATGAGAAGCACCCCAGAGGATTTGTTAAACAACATAGAACTGGTACTATTAGCCATTGGATGCTGGGGTTCATACTGAGGGGCGGATGTGAGCACCTATGGACACGTCTGGAGTGCAATGATGATAATCCAACTAACTAAGATCCATCACGAAAACCACAACGCTGTGCTACAACCTGGTATCAGTGAGACGACAAAAGAAGAAGAACCTGCAATCACGCATACAAATAACAAAAAACCATAAAAGGCAATAATAAACACAGTAGGTAATTACTTTCTTGGGACAGTGCTGACATAAGGTGACACCACTTTATCCACAAATGACCCAAAACCCAGTCGGAAGTTTTTGGTAATAGCTGACATTCTCTCAGCTGCAAAAAAATTAAACAGAGGAATGTCAAGATTTGTTAACCAAATAACAAATGCAATATATAAAACTAATACTTTTTTTATTTTATTTGCCCTTAAAGGCATACCATATTGTGGTTTACAGATAGGCTAAGTGGTCTCGAGGCATGGCATCCGCCTCAAGTGCTTGCGGTTCCGGCGCTGGTGAAGGCTGGGTTTTTTCATGTGGACTTCAAGTAATTTCTCCGGGTCTCTGGACGCCTGTGTGTACAGTTGAGCACGTAAAATTGGAAATAAAAAGTAACCTTAAGTGAAAATTGGAGATAAAAATCTACCCAAATTACTTCAGGATCATTGCAGTGCTATGGAGCTGTCGCACTGCGCTGAGATTCCTCAGACTCTGGCTTGAGTAACAAGTAGAATGGAGCACTTATGGGTTACTACCCTTGGGCCATGATGTTGATCCGTTGTTTCAAAATTGTAAACCTTAAGCTAGGCTCAAGATACCTAATTTCAACTAATCCTTAATTAGTAGCTTTTCACGATATACCTTTCAAGAGGCAGTGGGTCAATTTGTATGTGTGCCTGTGAGTGAGTGAGTAAGTGAGCAAGTGAGAGACAGACAGACAAAAAGATCACAGCTAAACACAATTTCAGATTTCATTTCTTCATAATATTGAATATCAATTAATTTATGCTCATTTTTGTAAATCTTGAGGCTTGAATAAGATCAATAATGTTGGTCTGCAATATTGCTCTCTCACTATGCCGGTAAACAAGTGAACACTCTCTAAGCTAACACTTTTATTTACCCTTATTTCCTTACTAAAAATGTACTTTTGGCACCAAATATGCTCCCTGATATAAGCCTAATACTGTGGCAGAAAAATGGAGGCAGCTGACTAGAAAAAACATATGGCAAACTCTTATTTATTGTCTCATCCATTGTTGTCTCCACTGCTAAAGAACTGCCAGGGCCCAAATCAGGCTCATCAGCCATTTTCAGGGCCAAAATCATGCTCATCATCAATTGTCAGGGCCCAAATCAGATTCATCTGCTATTTTCAGGGCCCAAATCAGGCTCATCATCCATTTTCAGGACCCAAATCATCAGCCTTTTTCATAATTATTAAAGTTTTTACTAAATGGATGTTGAGCTGTCTCCATCACTTGGAAAGAGTGAACAATACAATACAAAAGTGATCTGATGAGCCAAATTTAGGAAGTCAAGCCACAGGAATAATCCCAGTTAACCTTTATATTTTTTTTTAAAAGGGTTACAAACAGGGATCCTATGAACAGCTGCCGAACAGAAACAAATTACCAGATGGCATTTCAATACTGATAAGTACAAACCTATAAGATTTCCCAGTTCAGCCAGATTGTCTTTGTCATCTTCCATGGAATTTGATAAGTCCATCAAATAATACAAATCTACAGGGTAATTTTCAGCTTGCCTAAATATCAGTGGAATTCGAACTGGCTGATCTGGAATACAAACATAAATAAGAAGCAAGTGACCGTCAGGGAACACATAAAACAATAATAATATAAAATGAGATGTTGTTTTCTTTGATGTTCAGAACTTGCAGATGTCATAATTTTTCTTCTTCTTGATATATTTTAGGGATACTAAGAATTTCTATGTAACATGTAAGTTCAGAAGCTCTCATGTCCTTTTTTAATTATGGGATGTCAAATAGTCCATGTCTCACATCTGTAAGAGCCACATTAAAGAACATCTGTAAGAGCCACATTAAAGAACATCTGTAAGAGCCACATTAAAGAACATCTGTAAGAGCCACATTAAAGAAACATACTTTATAAATCAGAATAGTGTTGACAAAACACCACAAGATAAATGTGTTCAAATAAACTTACACCTATTTTAAAAAACATATATATTAAAAACATATCACCCGCAAAAAATGCACTGAATAGTAAAATTCACGCAAAAGCTTAATTGCTTTGGAACTAGACTTTCATGGAAAATATCTATCAAAACTATGATGTAATATCAATTTAAATGTCAAAAGTTTGATTTCAAATAGTTTAAATGTAAGATATCTGCCCATAACCTAAAACATAATGTTTAGATTCAGCCAACTGCTCAAGTCAATATTTGCAGCAGTAAATAATAATGTCAAACATCTTCCGGTTTCTGCTTTGTAGATTAGACACCCAGTCTTCTGAGTCTACTGCAACATGGTGGATACTACAAGCCTGTGTGGTTGTTACATAAACATTCTTAAGAAAGTGAAAACTGTATCATTTATCCAGTAAGCATAGGCAGTTATCTTGGCAAAGTTCTGAAATTAGAAAACCTATCAACAACAAATTAATTATGTTATGTGTTGAACAAAGACGATAAAATTGATTTTTAACATGCACTGCTGCAGACGGATGTGCTGTCAAAAGACCAAACATTAAAAGAATGTGTAAACTTACACATCGCAACCAACATTTTTATTGCTTCAGAATAATCAAAGAAAAACAAAACTATATTTTCTGAGAAGAGGCAAGAATGGATAGTCAAATACCCATAATACTTAAATAAAATTACTATTTTTTATACTTCTTTCAATGAGTGCTGACCAATATATTGTCTGTTACTTTATTAATATATAATATTTAACGGCCTCAAGGGTTAACCCTCTGTTTATTTATGTGAATGATGTATACACAACCAGAACCTACCAATCAAATACCTTTTTCAAAAGTTTTAAGGTCTACTGTGTTTTTAAATTGTTGCTGTGCTTGTTATTCGACCTATGCTCTGTTAATATAAATTTCTGTAACCTATGGTGCCATTTCATTGGGTTAAAATGAATTATGTCCGTATTCCATAGTTGTGGATTTCAAGCTGCATGATACACATTTTTTGGGGGGTTGCCTAGTTGACTATGTACTTAGTGCACTTGTTTCCATAACGAGGCACACATGCCGTCTAGAGGTGACAAATATTCCCGGCATGGTGACTTTAGCTTTTCAGTGTAAAGTTCTTCTACCTTTCTACTATTTTCTAGAGAAATTTGTCAGTTCTTTAATAATAGCTCAATAAAATGAATGCTGAATAATGTGCACAAAACAAAGATCTACATCTACAGAGATCTACATACTCTCCTCTTCTCATTGTTACGTTTGTGTAGTTTACTTATGTTTGAAAATGGCTGCCCGGTCGAAACGCTAGTGTTGTTTTGTGCAAATTTTTCTGCTTCCCCATTTTTTTGAGCTTTTTAGTCAAATTTCTCTGGAATTCCTCGTCTGGAGGTGACAGGTTCGATTCTCGGCACGGTAACTATAGCTTTTCGGTTTTTGTGTTGTCTAGTGTGTTCTTCTACCTTTCTACTTCTTTCTATGAGTGACGATCAATACATTGTCTGTTACTTTAATAATATTTAATAAAATGAATGCTGAATACACATCACATTCTTTGGATTTCACAATCTTACAGCAGTATCTTACAGTAAATCATATTTTTCTTTTACACAAAGAACTTCCCTCTGAGCACTGTGGACAATAAAATACCGACAATCTTCCAGTTTCTGAGTAGTGGGAAATGGGAAGAGAGATCTGTAACACAGTTCTCATGGAACTCCAATATCCGTTCAGACTTCTAGAAAATAGGAAGTCAATACGCAAATCTTAGACTTACAGAAAATCTACCAACAGAGAAAAGTTCTTTTCAGAGATCCTATACCCTACATGTCAATGCATCAGACTTCCATTAAATTTACCAGCCAGAACTTTATCCTACATATCAACATTTCAGACTTTCAGAAAATATACCAACCAGAACTACTATATCCTACATGTCAACATTTCAGACTTCGAGAAAATTCCTCAAAAAGAACACCTATATCCTACATATCAACATTTCAGACTTCGAGAAAATTCACCAATTAGAACACCTATATCCTACATATCAACATTTCAGACTTCGAGAAAATTCACCAACTAGAACACCTATATCCTACATATCAACATTTCAGACTTCCAGAAAATCTACCAACTAGAACTCCAATATCCTACATATCAGACTTCTAGAAAATCTACCAACTAGAACTCCAATATCCTACATATCAGACTTCTAGAAAATCTACCAACTAGAACTCCAATATCCTACATATCAACATATCAGACTTCCAGAAAATCTACCAACTAGAACTCCTATATCCAATCCTACATATCAACATATCAGACTTCCAGAAAATCTACCAACTAGAACTCCAATATCCTACATATCAACATATCAGACATCCAGAAAATCTACCAACTAGAACTCCAATATCCTAAATATCAGACTCTCAGAAAATCTACCAACTAGAACTCCAAAATCCTACACATCAACATATCAGACTTCAATCAAATCTACTAACTAGAATTCCTATATCCTACATATCAACATATCAGACTTTCAGAAAATTCATCAACCAACCAAACAGCAACAACTGCTGAAAACCCCTATAATGCTTACTTGGCCTGATGCTGACTCTCACCCTCTGTGGCTGTATCTGAACAGCATCTTCTGGGTTGTCTCCATCCTGAACTGGTTTGTCCTGTAAAACAGAATTTTAAACTTAAGAATTTCGATTATAGCACTTTAGCATTCCCACAGATGTTCCATCCCCAACTTCAGCAGCCTGCACATAATTCCAACAATAAGGGTACCAGCTGTAATCTGCTAATAGGTTTGTTTCGCCTATCCCCTGAATGCTGACTGACCGCCAAATCTATGGCAGAGCCATTCAGCAAAGTTTACCCAGGGGCCAAAATGTTGATGGGGACTTTAGTCTTGTTCCAGAACTTGAATTCTATGTGCACATTCGTTTTACAGACTTGGCTTACTTGTTTACTAATTAGTTGTCCTTTACGACATGCTTGTTAGGGAGGCAGTGGGTCTATTCTTCTCCCCTAAAATGGAATCCCAGAACCACACAGGGGCATACGTATGTAAATGAGCACACATTTGTGCATTATATGATTACATATTAATAAATGTATTTGTGATACCATGCTGTAGTGTATACACTTAGTATTCATACTATGTAAGTATGTTGCTAAATAAACTTAGGATATATTACACTTAAAATGAAACTGCTGTGTGAAAGATGAGTGGCTGTAAAGTCCAAATATATGAGGGGCCTGCATGCTCAATTTGTGAACCTTTCTTTCTCTTCACATTCACCAGCTGTAAACTGCGACGAAAAGTTCTGGTTGTTCGTCCATGTCGGGACTGTGGTCCTGTTTCAGAACCCGAGTGTTGAGCACATATCAGTTTTACAGATCTGACTCATTTATATGCAAGACTGTTGGTTCCTTGCCTCTCAGGCAGATGCACTTCGACTTCAAAGAAAACTCCCAATTAGTCGTCTCTTACGACATGCTTTTAGACACACTGTAGGCTACACTTGTTTTCCCCACAATAGGGCCCCAGAACTCATATGGGGAAATATGACTCTTTTAAAATAAACTTCATTTGTTTTCTCTGTCTGTTGACAGTAATTTTTGCATTTTCATCAGAAACCTTGTTTCCACTGCAATTTCCCTTATGTCATCACGCACAATGAAATCTTAATAATCAAATTTAAGAAAGAAAAGAAAACAAAGCAATAAAATACTTACTTCAATATTTCGCAAATCATGTCTGGGAAACTGAATATCTTTTACGTCACATCTACTATTAATATGATTGTCACGAGTGTCGCATCGTAGTCTGTTTTCTTGTTCATAACTCTGAAATCATGATAAAACAAAATAAATGTCAGAAGTTCAGCTGTGTCAATTAAGTGTCCCAAATACAACATATCAAGGTAAAACTTCTGGCCAAGAGAAATACTGGTGTAAGCAAAACTTTACTAGTCACTGTTGGAGTTGTTTATATATATATAACTGTTAATATATGGTTGGTGAGAATAACACTAAAGGTAAATGAAGACAAATAGCATACTATTTGTGGAATGAAGTGCTTAGGCTTAGGCCTTCCCACATTCTAGATCAGACCATGCAATTGGTGGGTTGGCCAGTTCCTTTTCTAGTTGGCTATTCTTCCCAGATAAGTTTGAGAATTGTCTGAGACTCATTTTTATGAATCAACAAAAATGTTGCCACTTCTGAGGATTGAACAGATTACTATCTCAGCTGGCAAGCAACAATAACAATATTCCTCTTCAATTGGGCCTAGAGTTAAAGATTGAGCAAATGGTTAGTTTGTAGTGTCATACAGTGCACACAAATGTCTAGATTGGTGGACAGAGCAAATGGTTAGTTTGCAGTGCCATAAAGTACAAACAAATGTCTAGATTGATGGATAGTGCAAGTGGTTGGTTTGTGGTGCCATAAACTGCAAACAAATGCCTAGATTGAAGGAAAGAGCAAGTTGTTAGTTTGCAATCCCCTACACTGCACACAAATGGAAGCCTAGACTGAAGGACTGAGCAAGTGGTGAGTTTGTAATGTGTACAATTAGGGGGTCTGTAACAGAACATGGGATACCACAGGCAGATAAGCTGTAAAATGACATGGGATACCACATGCAGATAAGCTGTAAAATGACATGGGATACCACAGGCAGAAAAGCTGTAAAATGACATGGGATACCAGGCAGATAAGCTGTAAAATAAGATGGGATACCACAAGCAGATAAGCTGTAAAATAACATGGGATACCATAGGCAGTAAAACCAATAACAATGGAGATTGCTTGTGGATGCCATGTGTCAACAGCTTTATGGAGAGGCAAGACTACAGCATTGCCAAGCTCATCACTAATGGCCCTACAGTGCACTATCAAATTTCATATTTGTTTCCACACGGTGGCTACAAATGCACACGAAACGATAATACATAACAACAATGAATAACAAACTTTGCAGCAAATGTTCTTACTTCAGAAGCACACCAGCTGCACTGTGGAGCTGTTGCAATACAAGCAGCACATGACTTCTGAGCATCTGACGACAGACACAAGTTTGGCTCTGTACCTGAAATTAAAAAAAAAAAAAAAAACATAAGTGTAAAGTAAGGAACAATTTACATTCACACACACATTAAAAAAAACTAAAAATTAACACAAAACATAACCATTCACTGAGGTTACTTCATGAACTGTTTTGTGGTGCCCATAATATAACTGCTACATGGCTATATAGTTGAACAGCGTTTTCAGAATTAGTTCCTGTTTGATTTTAATCCTATAGACTGCAAATCTGGAAAAGAAAAACTATTTTTATAAAGTGTTTCCCAACGTTTTGTGTGACATGCTCCACCCAAGTCTTTCTTAAATTCTTAGCCCCCCCCCCCCCTCATGTAACTGAAACTCTGGATGAGTCCGCTTTTGAATTGTGCACCCCCTCCCCCAAACAACACAATCAAATTTCACCCCTTAAGAATCAAATTTTCCCCTCAACAATCACATGGCCTCCCTATGGCGCGTGGGCACCATGTTGAGGAAACTGTGTCAGACCTTCACATTTTCTAGGCCTCACATGTGAGGTTGGATTGCCTTCTTCTTTCTTCTTTACGTTCACCAGCTGTACACTCTGGCGGAAAGTTCTGGTTGCTCGTCCATTACTGAACTGCAGTCCTGCTCCAGAACCTGAGTGTTGCGTGTGCATCAGTTTTACAGATCTCAATCTCTTGAATACAGACTGTTGGTTCCTTGCCTCTCCGGCAGATGCACTCCGACTTCAAAGGAAGCTCCCCAATTAGTCGACTCTTACGACATGCTTTTGGGGAGGCAGTGGGTCTATTCTTGTTTTCCCCACAATGGGGCCCCGGAACCCACACGGGGACTTGGATTGCCAATTTCCTACCTTTTCACAGAAAATTATTTTAATTTCCTAGGATGTATTTTTTCTATGACTCAATCAACCAAGAGCTGCAGTGGTTTTAACCCCATCGACTAAATCTAGTCACTTCTGGTTGTGACACAGTCACTTAAATGCCGATATATCAACATTTCTGCAGTGACCTGTTCTGGACAAGCTTAGTTAAATGCCACTGGTTCTATATGTGCATGCATCATGTTTAGGAGGACCTGGTGTGACTATATTAACTAACTAAATGCAGCATTTAGAGGAGTTCTTTAAAATTCAGTATTTTTCTTTTTTTTTTTAAAGCCAGGTTGGCTTAAAATTTGCGCGTAAGCCCCAGTGATAGAGGTAACAGAGTTAGGCATGATTTACCCGACACATTTTTTTAGGCCCCCAGGAACGCACTTCATTTAATGCTTCACTCTGTTCTTGTTTACTCCAGTTACAAATCTTTTATATATTTCTAGATAAAAAAAGTGTTAATGCAGGAAAATTTTTTTTTTTTTAGTTACCTGTGTAAAATATGTTGTTTTTTTCAATGGTTTTTCTTTATGAAATTCCCACAGCCCATTTTATTAAGCATTCCTGGGGTGAAAGAGTTGAGTCTCTGAGGAACACTGAACTCTGCCCACTGTCTTGACAAACAACAACAAAAAGTTCTAACCACTGTACCAATGAGGTGTCTGCTAAAATATCACATTTACTGATTAATGGTAGTGAGAAGAGTAAAAATAAATAATCAAGAGCCAGATTCTTGGCGGATAATAAGTGCTTTATTCTAGCTGTAGCATATTTAACTCATTTAAAAGTATAGTTGCATCATTTGAAACAAAGGATGTCATCTGTTTATGTTGCTGTAGGGATTGCAATTTTTAAAAATGTCATTAAATTAAAGTGTGCAGACCTTTCAAATAGTGAACATGAATTTCAGGCCTAGCACGGTTAAATATCAATCTGAATGTAAATTTGTTCCTTTGATTGGGCATCAAGTCAGCATATAACTTTTTATGTGTCCTAAATATTTTTGTTGTTGAACATTGACCCTATTTAGTAATTTGATTTGTGTATAGTTTCTTTTTAGTACTTCCCTTTTTTTTTTTTTTTTTTCATTCTTTCTCCCATCATGTTTACGAAGTTTATATATGTCCTCATTTCAATAACAGTAATTGTTTTCCAACTGCTTTTTCATAGTCCCTCACATTAACAACAATCTAAAAATACTGCATCACATAAATGTCCCTTTTTGTGAAATGAATTAAAATATCTTGTTTATATTAACATTATGTTTGCTTTATTCTCTTTCTTTTTAAAATTATGATTTTGCAACCTGAAGAGTACAAAACACAGTAACTATTTTGCAACCAGTAACTAACAAAACACTTACTTTGAGATAATGCCCCCAGACACAGGGCAGCAAATATAAGAATTAACTGCATTTCAATATTCCTCATCTGTGGAAATGATAACAGGATTAGGACTGCCTCAGAAAAATACAAAATTTAACATGTATATATTATACATATTGATATTTATACACACACAAGGTATCTCTTGAATATTTAGTGTACTGAGAATTTAACAATACTGCATATAAAGTTAACTCTTTGAGTCACAAGGAGCGCATCATACGTTTACAGGTTCCTACCTAGAAGCCCAGTAAATGCAAGATGTGCTGATTTTACATCTCTCTTTACTACCCCTTGGGCCTGGGATGCTAAACCCTCTGGGACTCAAAGAGTTAAACTG